CGCGTCTCTCGCGTACACCCACGAAATTTGCCTCCCCTCGCTCGCGGCCCAGTCCACGGCCCGATGGCGCGCGACTTTGCATTTCACATCCTGATTCGGATAAATCGCTGTTGCCTTCACGAACTCCGGCAACAAGAATCGTTCGTCATCTGGCCCCGTCGCGACCAACTGCCGTCTACGGCGCTCTGCTTGACAAAGCCCGCACTCCAGCGCGTTGTCTCTTGCAATGGCCTCTGCGTTCTTCGCGCAGTGTTCGGACCCGCACGTTGGCCCACGCCCCACCCATGACCCGGCGACGTCCGTCGGCCGGCCGTGCAGAAACTGGTGCGTCCGTTCGCTCAGGGCCCCGCGCCGGAACTCGTCCTGCACGCTCAAGAACCACTCGTCATGCCCTTCCAACCGCTTGCATTCCACAAGCTCCGTCATTCCTGCAACGGACCCGCGGCCCGCGCCCCAGAATATGCAATGCCCATGGTCCTCTCCCGCGCTTGGAGCGTACTGCCTTGCTTTGCGAACCCATGACGTCGGGATCGCGTTCAAGGGCGCCCCACCTGGCGGCTCCAGCTGCCGCGCCAAACACGCCAGGCGCGCCTTCGCGTCTGGGATGTCGCTCACCAGGCTTTCCACGGGGACTGCCAGATGCACGTCGTCTGCAGGGGCCTCGCATTCCTGGGGCCATTGGGGCTCCCACAGGCCGCCGTGCGTACTCCCGTGCTCTGCCTGCACGCGTCGCCTGTTCACTGGGTCTTCTCGACGGGATCGACTCATGCTGGAGGGTTGTGCTGAGGGGTTGTGCTGGAGGGTTTTCGAGTTCGCCTTCCAGCACAACCCTCTCCAGCACGACCCTCCAGCACAACCCTCTCCAGCGCCACCCCGTCAGCACGATCCTCAGCACCACCCCCCAGCACAACCCCCCAGCACAACCCCCCTCCAGCACTTAAGGAATCGGTCCCAGCTTAAGAATTTGGTCCCAGCTTTTTTTGAATTTCCTATTTTATTTTAAAAATTTCTGAGACCCAGCTCAAAAAAGTGAGTTTCTTAACGGACGACATGAGTGTGTGTGTGTATATATATACACTAGAACCATGCGCGCGCTTCGCGCGCGCTTCGGTTCTAGCCAAGCTCAGGGACGGGATTTGCTGTGAAGCTACCATGGAGCAGAACGCCAGAAACAACAAAAAACAAGATATGCACGAGGACATATGGAGTCAACAAGAGGGGGACAGGGGAGGAGGGAAGCCTAAGTGTGTTTCTTTGGGGCGTCGGATGGCCGCGGCCGATACTACTTCTAATAGAATGAACGGGTTCGCGCAGAGTGAGGGCGTACAAGGCAAGGCGCACAAGAGTGATGGTGCAGAGCAGGGCTTGGCCATGCGAGGTCCAAGCAATAGCCCACGCGAGGAAGGTGCACGACGCGAGCGCCGCTGAGATATCCAAACACTTCGGAGGTGGTGTGGCCCTGCCCCATGGTGGTCCGGTCGTTTTCGCCTATGACATTCTCGCAGCTCGGGTTTCCGAAATGCACTGAGCTGAGGTGGTGTGGCCACCTTTGCCTGAGGCATCTTCGCAACCCTGACCTCTGAGATGCTCTGCCTGATTGTGGTCATTGCTTCTCGCCTGAGACAGCCCTGCAACTGTGGGTGATGAGATGCACTGAGCTCAGGTGGTCAGGCCACTTCCGCATTAGACATCCTCGCAACTCTCACCTCGAGGATGCTCTGCCCACTGGTGGTCCAGCCACTTTCGCCTGGGACATCCTCGAAACTCTGGGTTCCGAGAGGCCCTGAGCTGGGGTGGTCAGTCCACTTTCGCCTCAGACATACTCGCAACTCTGACCTAGGAGATACCACGCTCCATGGTGGCTCGGCCACTTTCGCCTGGGACATCCGGGGAACCCTGGATTCCGAGATGCCCTGAGCTGAGATGGTCAGGACACATTGGCCTGAGATATCCTTGCAACTCTGATCTCATGTCCTGTCCTATGGTGGTCCAGCGACGTTCGCCTATGACATCCTCGTAAACTGTGGAATCTAAGATGTCATGAGCTGAGGTGGTCATGTCACCTCCGCGCGACGACGACGACGACGACGACGACGACGACGACGACGACGACGACGACGACGACGAACGAACTCGGCGACGACAACTGGCCATCCGGGGTCGTCCTGGAGGCGTCTGGCGCTCCTCATTGAAGCATCTGAACAGTTCGTTCGGATCTCGTGGCAGGTCTCTTGGGGGCCTCCTGGAAGCAGTTCCGAGGCTCTTGGGGCCCGGTTCAGTGCCTGTTGGGGGCCGTTTGGGGGGCTTTGGGGGGCCCCTCGGGAGCCTTTTGGGGGCCCCTTGGGTGCATCTGGCGGCGTCTTGGGGGCCTCCCAGGCGCCTCTTGGGGCCTCCTGGGGGCCTCTCGGGGCCGAGGGCCCAGAAAGTCCGTTCGGATCTCCCGGCTGGGCCCCTTCTTAAAGCCGTTTTGGGGCCCTCTTGGGCCATCTTGGGTGTCTCTTGGGCCGTCTTGGGTCCCTCTTGGGTTGTCTTGGGGTCTGTTGGGCCCTCATGGGCTGCGTTAAGGCGGTCTTCGGGGCTTCTTGGACTGTTTGGAGCGTCGGAAGAGCGAAAAGGCGCTTCTGCTAAAAATGTACGTTCCCAAAGGAATTGGAATTTGTTGCCCTCTTGGGGGCATTTCGATAGGCCTGTGGGAGGCACCTTGAAGCGTCTTGGCGCCTTCTTGCGACGCCTTGGGGCCATCTTTTTTGTTGTTGCCCTTACGGTTCGCTTCCCCCATATCGCGTTGCCAATCTCGCTTCGCTGGGGTCGCGCCGGGCGGACAGACCCGGCGAACGCGACTTTAAAATGAGCGCGCGGGATTCAGAAGAGGGCAATTCAGCTAGCACGGGCCACAGATCCCGCTAGTCTTACAACAATACCCCTCTGTGCACTGCTTGAAATATCCGCCGACCCCTTGTGGGTCTCTAGGCGTGTGAGATAGTTCCCCCCCCATAACCCCCCCCAAGGGACCCCAAACCGGAGATTTGACCCCCCCCCCCTCGCCCCGGACGAGCGCACCACGAAGCTTTTCCGGGCCCAAGAGGGCCTTAAGCCGGGCCTAGAAAGCCCCAAGAGGCCTCCAAAACGACCCACGAGGGCCCCGAGACGCTAAACGAGCGCTCCAAGACGCCCTAGCTGGCCCAAAGATGGGCTCAGAGGCCTCCAAGACGGCCCAAGAGGTCCCCAAGAGGCCCGAAGAGGCCTCCAAGATGCGTCCCAAGAGGGTCCCTAGACGCAGAAATTTGCCCATTCCCTGCGTAAAACATACAATTTTCATACATTCGCCTTCTGGGCTTTCCGATGCTCTCAGACTGCCCAAGAAGACCCCAATACCGCCCCCAGACGGCCCAAGAAGCCTCCAAGAGGGTCCCAAGATAGCCCAAGCGGGCCCCAAGACAGCCCAAGAGGCGTCCAAAACGGCCCAAGAGGGCCCCGAAGACGGCCCCAAGAGCGCACCAGGAGCGCTCCAAGTCGCCTCCCAGAGAGCTCAGTATGGTCCCAGACGGTCCAAGAACGATCAAAGACACCGACAATGGCCTCCAGCGGTCGAAGATGCCCCCAAGAGGCCCCAAGAAGCATCCAAAATACGTCCCAAGAGGGCCTCTAACCGCAAAAATTGGCCCGTTTCCCTTGTGAAACGTAGATGTTTCACAAATTCGCCTTTTGGGCTTTCCGACGCTCCCAGACGGCCCCAGAGGCCTCCAAGACCGCCCCAAGACGGTCCAAGAAGCCTCCAGGAGGGCCCAAAGACAGCCCAAGAGGGCCCAAGACGGCTCCAGATGCGCCGAAGACGGCCCGAGAGAGCCCTGAAGACGGCCCCAAGAGCGCTCCAAGAGCGCTCCAACTGGCTTCCAAGAGAGGGACGTCCCGAGATCTTTTCAAGGCGGGGACTCGGATGAACGAACGGCTGCGCGTCCTGGCGCTCAGCTGTGAGGCACCATCAACTCAAAGAGAAAAATGAGACAGAGCATGTGTGTCACGCATGCTAGAGAGGGTTCGGGGGGGCGGGGGACCAGAGAAGCTATGTGAAGCAAGAGAGCGGAGCCAAAGGGGCGACATAATGAAAACCCCTCTTGACTTCCTTCACGTGCAAGCACAAACCAGGACGTCCCGAGATCTTTTCAAGGCGGGGACTCGGATGAACGAACGGCTGCGCGTCCTGGCGCTCAGCTGCGAGGCACCATCAACCCGAGCCGTTCCCAAGAATGTTTACTGGGTGGGCGGGCAAGGGCGATTATATAAAGACGCGCGCCATTCACTCAAGAGGACTTTGGCAAGCTTCCTATTGAGGGCTGGCGGATAGGCGGCAGCGATAGCGGTCCATTTCGCACCATTCGGGGCGTTGCCTTCAAGCACAATGTGCTGACGGCCAGACTTGTTGCAGGTTCCGTTGATCTGAGTACACCGACGATCGAGACAGCTACTATCCTGGACATCTATGTTCAGACACAAAAACCTCGTCCGCTTGCGCCAACGAGCACCTTCCTGGCATTGGTCGAGACATCTTACTTCGGCCCCCCGATCTATAAACCCCTGAACCTCTCTCGTGACAAAAACGCGTGAATTCACAGGATGTTCGAGTATGCAGGGAACTCTGAATTTCTCGCAACATCTGATGATGGACAGCGCGGCACGCATGGTCTTATTGCCAGACGCCAGGCAAGCCAGCTGCTTTGTACTCAAAAAATGTTGCGGGAGTCCCCAGGGCTGCGATGCCGAGCGGATGGCCCCCACACGGTCGGCAGCGGTGGTCCAGGGCCCACAGGGCGGTGCCAGCATCACGGCTAAGACGCGGCCAGCAGCGATGTCGGAGCACAGGCCTCGCAAGACCTTTCGTCGGGTCAGATCGCCGCCTGGCCCGTGCAGCGTGTCCCAGAATCTGGCTGGCACGCCCATCGCCATTGCAGCGCGCCCCACGCCTCCTTTGCCACTGAAGCAGTCGGCCAGGTACTGGCCCGTCAGGCGTGGTCGAGCTCCCGCAAGTCGACCGGCGAGGCGCGACCCAAAATGATGTCCGCGAGCTGAGCCTCGCAGACCAGGAACACGTTTTGCTGCGCGCTGCTCAATGTCGCCCACGTGGCTGCCAGGCGTGCATGCTTCTCGTAGCGGACGACGCTGCGGTTGGTCTTCCACTGCCCGCGTTTCTGCACGTCGGCCAGCCGCCTCCACCTCCTCGCCATGTCTATCGAGGCCACCGAGTGGCGCATCTGATACGGCACCACCTTGGCCTTTACCCGCAGGTCCTGAAGGCATAGGCCGAACATCTTGCAGTACTCTGGGTACGTGAAGTTCCACAGGCACTCGGGGTGGCCCTCCTTCTTCATCTGACGCAGCACAGGGTCCAAGAAGCGAATCCAGGGCGAGTCTAACTCTAGCGACACGTCCCCCAGGCCCGTCTTGTCCCTCAGGTCCTCCTCCTCTGGAAAGAGCCTCAAGGTCCAGAACTCGCACACCCCCGGCGCTGGCGGCACCAGGCAGGCCGGCTTCAGAAGCAAAAGGCTGCTGGGGCGGGCGTACACGCTGACTGCTATCAACGTGAACACCGCCATCTGAAGGCTGCCACGGGCCTTCATGCGCCACGCCATTGCGCACCACAACGCCAGCGCCCACGGCTTCCTCGTCCGCGGCGGCTCCAGGCGCCGCCAGGCCCGGAGGCATCTCCAGCCCCGGGGAGGCGCCGGGCACCGTAGCGCGAGAAGTCGGGGTTGAAGTGCAGGACCCCCGCCATCAACTTCTCGGCCCAGGAGAGGTGAGTCCCAGCCTGGTACAAGCCGTTCAGGTAGCTCACCAACGCCGAGTCTACCACGGACTCGCCCCTGCTCTTCATGACTTCGTCGATGTCGACAGAGGGCCAGCTCCGACGGGCAAAATCCCGCCATCCGTCCCAGGCCCTCTGGTACTCGCGCTGCGTCGGGGTCCTCACGGCCTCCCGCTCCAGGAGAGAGAAGCCCTCCTCGCCGGTGGGCATCCCGTAGTGGCGGGCACGGCGCTTCTGCGACTGCGCGAGCCTGCGCAGCCGCGCGGCGCCGGTCACGACCTCGGGCTCGGAGCTCCCGCTGTCGGAGGAGCCGAAGCTCTCTCGCGCTCCCCGAGCGGGCTCCGCTGGCACAGGCACCTTCGTCAGGCCCTACACCACTTGCCCAAGGCTCCGCGGCAGGGGACGGCTCAGCACAGCCGTCTTCAGGAGCCCCGACTCGCCCAGCTGACGCTCCCGCCGAGCTGCCGGCTGCGGCAGCGGCGCAGGGACCAGCTGCCGCGTGCGCCTCACCCCCTGGCCACGGGCTGACAACTGCAGGCCAGGCTCCGTGCGAGACGGCACCAGCAGCCGCGTGCGCCGGCGGCCCGCCCCAAGCCTCGCGCCCTGCCTGGCCTGCTGGGGGCTCCGAGAGCGCTCCCGCCCGCCTGGCGCTCGAGGGCGCCCAGGCAGCATCGCGGGCCGCGACGCCATCGGCCGCTCGCTCGGGCTCGGCCCAGGCGGGGGCCCGCCCTGGGCCCGCCTGGGCGCCCTCGAGCTCCAACAGCTCAGCCAGAAGGGTGGACTTTGCGCCGCCAGGATCGAATAGCCGTGAGGGAAGATCGGCACAGTTGAGCTCACTAGGTATCCAACGAATCGAACAACGAATGTTTCGGCTCAAACAGACAGCGTGAAATCGACGAATCTGGACCAACAAGTTGAAACACGAGCTCCTTCCCCGATTGACGCTTAGCACGACCGACATATTGTCACAGAGCAGTAATTGACGTATATGGGACCCAAAAACCGTGGTGGCGATACGATGGATGCTGCTGACCAGGGCTCGGGCCTCCAAGGTCCAGATGCCCTCAGGGTGCTGCCAGGCTCTCGCGAAACAGGGCTCCCACAGGCCTGCGCGGAGCCCCTGGGCGGGCACCTCCGGGAAGTCCCTCGCGACGCCCCACTGGCCCAGCTCCTCCTCGTCCTCGGGGAGGCCCTTGAGTTCCCATTTTCCACTCTCACTCATGCTGAAGCCAGCTGCACAGAGCGCAGCCTCTCGAGCACTGTGCGCGCAGCGCCGGCGAAAGCGGGCTCGCTCAGGCACGCGCCCGACTGACTCCACCAGCTCCTGCGGCCAGAAGGCCCTTGCCAGCCCGTAGCCGTGAAGACTGGCATCAGACTGCTGCACCATCGGATTCCAAGGCAGCCACCAGTCTGATTCCAAAAAGTACATCAGGGAGCTGAAGGCGGCCAGCTCTCGCCGCGCCTCGGCCCATAGCACGGCCGCCTCCTCGTAGTGGGCTCGCACAAAGCCGCACGCTGAATTGAAAGCTGACAAGGTGCCGCGCGAGCAGAGGCCACAAAAGATTAGATGGCCCAGCGCCGCCTCCACGGCCCACCCCTTGACGCGGCGGCGGGCTAGGAGGCCTCGCACGGCCTGGCGGCAACGCCAGAACCGATCACTGGTCACACGAGTGCGCAACTGGCTGCCGTCGATCTCCGTGCCAAGCGCCACTGCCATGCCCGGCACCAGCTCGTCCTTGTGCAACAGTAGGTTCAGCTCGGTGAACTCGCCCGTCAGCTGGTTCATCACGCCGCTCACGAGCTCAGAAAACAGCGAGAAGACCCCCAAGTTGTCGACGTACACGTAGTGCCTGACCTCCTGGGGCGCCCCGCCGGGCGCGAACACGAGCGGTGGCCCATGGTCAGACAAACTGGGCCCCCGGAGGAGCGCGCTGCTGCGGCGGCTCACCTCCTCGTTGGCCCGCTGAGCGAAATAGAGAGACCAGCTGAAGCCCATGGGCAGGACCTGCCGGCAAGGGTAGATGGCCGTCGACGTCCGTACCTTGGCCCCCTCGACCTCGGTCACGCCGAAGGCCCCAGCCTTGACCGGCGGCAGGCAAAAGTACTGCGAAAGGGCTGAATCGATACGCATTCGATGAAAGCAGTCCTTCACGTCCGCCATGCCGATGTACACCTGCTGGGCCTGCAACGCGGCGCGGAGGTCCTCGTAGCTTGAGAAGCCCGCGTCCGGCATGTGCACCTCGATCCTGGCGAGGCCCTCGCTGCTCAATAGCTCCACCCCAGGCGGATCTCTGAAGTGGGCGTTCGCACGGCGGGCGTCGACTATGAGGCGAAGTCGGCGCCGCCCATCCTTCCACACAAAAAACATCCCAATCCTCTCTTTCGGTGTCAGAGTCCACCCCAGGATGCCAGCTGCCAGCAGCCGACGCACCAGGGTACGGCTCGACGTCGGTCGGCAAAGGTGACTCTCGTAACATGCGCTCTTGGCGCTCCTGCAGGAAGGTAAGGGCCTCGCCAGGCAAGAGGTCCTCAAGACGCGGGCAGTCGCTCACGTCCGTCGGCATGCTGACGAGCCCTGCACTGTAGGAGGCGACCGTCGTCGGGCCGCCGCGCCCGTCATATGGCGAGCGGCCCCGCAGCAGCTCCCGGAGGGCCGCCTGCGGCTCCTGCAACTTGGCGTCCGGCTGCCGGCCCCGCACGAGGCCCTCGAAGCGCGCAAGCGCATCCCGCTGCATGTCATTGGCTGGGCCAGGATGCGAGTCGTACCCCGACATCCAGTTGATGGCATCGACGATACCGTTGACCTCCGACGCAATCCGATCCTCACGACCGAACTGCCTCGCCCTGCAAGACCTGCCGCGAATTCGGCGGCCTGCGCCGCCCAGCAGCGGGAGCGGCAGGAAGCTGCGGGCTCCACGCGAGGGCGGCAGTCGGCCACCGTCGTGCCCCGGCAAAAAGGGCCCGGGGGAGGTGCTGGAGCCCCCGGGCCCGGGGGCCGTCATGGCCCCGTGGAGGCGACGCCCCTGGCACGGCCGCGCCCGCGGCCGCCTCGGCCGCCACCACGCCCCGCACCTGCTGCGTCACCTCCAGCTCCTTCTGCTCCGTCGACTGCCTCTGAAGGCGCCCCGCGTAGCGTACGCGCCCGTCCTTGCGCCTGCTCTATCTCGTGCTGCTCCTTCGCCCGCCGGTGGACGTAGCCCCTGAGCTCTGGCCCCGAGACGTCCTCCACCGAGCTCACGCCCTCGAAGAAGCGCGCGTTCGTCCAGCTCGGCTTGGTCGGGTCCGAGTAGGCATCCACCACCGCGGCGACACGGCGAGTCAGCACCTCCACCATCATGAGGCCGCCCATGTTCAGCTGGTCATATACCCCGCCCTGGTACAAAGCCTCCACGATCGTCCTCAGTTCGTGCACCACGCGGTCATTCTGCCCGAGGCCCTTCATGCGGATGAAGAGGTCGAGCCAGAGGCGCGGGTCGCCGCCGTGCCTCTCCATATGCTTCAACATGTGGAGAGCCCCAGGCGGTCCGTCCACCTTCGCGTCCGGGTAGTGCTCCTGCCTCGACTCGCCTACCACGTCCCGCCATCGCTTGAACCGTTCGCCCTGCTCGTCGTAGTCGACCCAGAGCGCGCGGGCGTCGGCGTCTCGTTCCTCGCCCAGCGGCTCCGCCAGGGGAGGCAGCGCCAGCTCGGGCGTAGCCGTGCCGCCGACAGGCTCGGCGGGCTCACCATCCTCGAGTGGCGCCGCGGCCGCAGCACGTCGGCGATCGGGGCCCGTGGCACGCGCATGGCCTCCGTCCAGGTCTTGCCAGACCGCGGCCTCCTCGGCCACGCGCCCAGGGGCCGACCCAGCGTCCAGCCGAGCGAGACGCACCATGCCGCCGTCGGCGGCCCTCAGCACGCCGAAAGGCTCAGGCCCGTCCTCGAAGCTCAGGCCTTCGGCGCTCGACACGTCGACCTCCGCCCCGATCGCGACGCCGGGCCCGCCGCTGAGGGCGATCCAGGCCTGACCCGCACCAGGAGCCTCCAGCAGCCTCCCGCCCAGGCGAGCCACGGCCATGCCCAGGCGCAGCAGGCTGGCCCGCTCCGCGGCCGACAGCTTGCCGGCAGCCTCCTGCCACGAGACCCGTTGGCCGCTCACGGCCACTGCCTCCCTCGGCTCAGGCAAGGCAGCGTCTATCTCCAGCGCCACCTGCCGGCCCCGTGTCAGCGCGTCGGCCAGCTCGTCGGGCCCCAGCGCCTCCCGGAAGCGATACAGCCTCCGCATCTTCCGCGTCCGCAGCGCCAGCGGGAAGGCTCGAGAGGGCCCCGTCTCGGGGTTCTCACAGCTCATGTCCTCCGCGTAGATGTCCCCATCTGGGGTCAGGATGATCCACTCGCCCTCCGCCACGTAGTGTAGCAGCACCCGCTCGTGGTCGACGTCGTCGTCGGCGAACCGGCAGACCACGCGCTCCCCTGGGAGCGCTCTAGTCCACCACTCCCGCCCCGCGTCTCCGCGGAGCCACCCCACGAGCGTCGACATGCCTGCGGGCGATCACCTTCCCCACCAGCCAGTGCACCAGCCCTCCGAGCAGCGCTCCAGCGAGCTTCTCGACCGCCTTCTCGCCCGTCGACACCGTCGGGCACGCCCTCGCCTCGCAGGCCGGGCAGGCCGCACACGGCGGCGGCTCGCAAGCCGGGCAAGCCGCGCAGGGAGGCGGCTCGCAAGCCGGGCAAGCCGCGGCCTCAGGGCAAGCCGCCGCCTCTGGGCACGCGGGGCAGGCGGGGCACGAGAGGTCAGGGCAAGTCGTCTGCACTGGACCCCACCCTGGCCCCAGGTAGGCCGCGGCCTCCAGCGCCAGCACCACCCAGGCCGGCAACGCGGCCGCCCCGCCAGGGATGGCGACCCCGTCCATCGACTCTGGACCAGAGAAGCTATGTGAAGCAAGAGAGCGGAGCCAAAGGGGCGACGTAATGAAAACCCCTCTTGACTTCCTTCACGTGCAAGCACAAACCATTCCACATGGTCCCAGACGGTCCAAGAGCGATCAAAGACACCCGAGATGGCCTCCAGATGGCCCAAGACGCCCCCAAGAGGCCTCCAAGGTGCGTCCCAAGAGGGCCCCTAGACGCAAAAATTGGCTCATCTCCTTCGTAAAACGTTTACTGTTTACATATTGGCCGCGTGGGCTTCCGACGCTCCAAGACGGCCCAAGAGGCCCCGAAGACCGCCCCAAGACAACCCTAAAGAACCCCCCAAGACGGCCCCACGACGGCCTAATATGGCCCCAAGACGGCTCAAAAGGGCCCCAAGACGGCCCAAGAAGGCTCCCAGACGGCACCAAGAGGAACCGAAGAGGGCATCCAAACATTCAAAATCCCCCGGGAGCCACAGGGAGCCCGAAGAGTGCCCCAAGAGGCCGCCAAAGGCCCCCAAAAGGCGGCCAAGACGCCCCAAGGAGCTCCCAAAAGGCCCCCAGGAGGCCCCCAAAAGACTCCCAGAGCCCCAGAGAGCCACCAAAAATCTACAAAATCTAGCTTTCCGCCCCCAGGAACCCCGGGGGGCACAAAAAAAACACCCCTGGGGGCCCAAAAAGGCCCCAAGACGGCCCACAAGGACGCCAAAGCAGCCCAAGAAGAGCCCAAAGAAGCCCAAGAGAGATCGAAGACGAGCCCAGGAGTAGCCCGAACAGCCCCAAAGATGCCCCCCTCAAGCCCCGACGAGCTCCCAAGAAACCCGACAAGAACCCCAAAACGACAGCCAAACGGTTTCGAACCATCTGATCATTGACTTCAATTAAGGGGTCGGCGGATGTGGCGTAAGCCTGAAGAATCCAAATGGGCACGCATATCCTGGAGCTATCTTACCACCCACACAGCAACTTCGGCCTCCGTCGTGTACGTTCTGGGTGATGCAGCAGTAAGTGTTTTCTTCAGGGCACTCCTTCTGACACTCCTCCGAGGAACGGAGATGCACGTCGCCAGGATGTTTATGCTGGCGATGCATGGTAGAGTTGAGGTTCTGGACATCGATCGGTATATCCTCCACTCTCGCCTCCTCATATTGTTTGTGGTCCTGCGTCTCGTCCTTCCAAATGTTCGCGATTTGCGGTTCGCTGGGGCCCGACGCCCGTGACTGGAGTAGCCCCACGCCGTCGGCCTCGTTCGTGGCGTCGCAGTTGTGCGAATCGTCCTCCATCAGGCAGCGTTCCTCCGAGGTCTTGGCTAAGTCATCGGCGGCAACGCAGCCGCGGCCGACGAGCAGGATGGCGAACGCTCCCGCAAGCACCACGACGTTCATTGCGGCAACGGCGGAGTAACAGGGGCTTGGCAGCAATAGGCGCAAACCAAATGTTCCCTATTCCTGAAGAGTTGCCACAATGTCTTGAGCCAAAATGGTTACGGAGCGCCTTAGGGCCATCTTGGGCGTCTTGGGGCGATGGTTCGGTGACTCTCTGGGCTGCATTGGACCGTCTTGGAGCCTTCTTGGAGCCCTTTTCAGCACGTTTCGGGACTGCCTTGGGCCGTCTGTGAGCGCTCCCGGAGGCCGTGACACGCCATGCCCCCCGTGGTCCCTTGGCCCGTCCAGGCGGCCTCGTCCCCCGGGATATGTATATATATATATATATATATATATATATACATACATACATAATCCGGGCCTGCCTGCCTGCCTACATACATACATACATACATACATACATACATACATACATACATACATACATACATACATACATACATACATACATACATACATACATACATACATACATACATACATACATACATACATACATACATACATACATACATACATACATACATACATACATACATACATACATACATACATACATACTAGAGCCATCGCGCGCGCTTCACGCGCGCTCAGGTTCTAGCCCAGCTGGGCGATCTTGGACAACGCTAATTATCAAACACAGGCGCGCGACGGCATCTGAGGAGCTTCTGGGGTGTTCCGCATGCTTCGTCAACTGGCTGTTGGAGGCACCTCTTGGGTGCTTCTTGGGGGGGCGTCTGAGGGTCCCTTGGGGGCATCGGTTCTGCAATCTGAAGCCGTCATTGGCCGTCTTGGCTGCGTGGAGGCCCGAGTTGAGGCCACCTGCGGCCAGATTGAGGCAATCCGGAAGCCTCCCGGGGGCCTCCTGGAAGCAGTTTTGACGCATCGAGGGCACTCTTGGGTTATTTTAAAGCCTCTTGGACGTCTCCTAGGGGCCTTTTAGGCCCTCGGGGAGCTTTTGGGGTCCTCGTCGGACCACTTGGGGGCCTCTTGCGGCCTCCTGTGGGCCTTTTGGGGGGAACGCTCTTCTGTTGGGTCGCGTTCCCCTTCTTGGGCCTCTCTTGGGGCTCTTGGGCCCTCTCGGGCCGCCTTGGGCGCCTCAAGCACCGTCTTGGGGCCCTCCTGGGGCCCTCGTCGGCCATCTTGAAACCATCTCGGGCCCTCTTGGGTCGCTCTTGGGGGTCTTCGGGGCCTCTTGAGGTTTTCTTGACCATCTATACTGCCCGCGTGGCCTGTCGATGGCAATTTGAAAGCGGCCCGGGGCAGTCCCAAGGGGTCTGTGACCCCCCAACGGTTCCAGGGGGCGCCCATGGGGGATGATGGCACCGGCCCGGCACCCCCCCCGCCTACTCGCGGCGGCCTCTGAGGCCCAGGACGCCGAAACCCTTTGAAAACACAGGAAAAATGAGCTCTGGTACCCCCATGGAGGGTCGAGGCAACTGTTTTCCAGCCCCGGGCCTGCTCCCCCGGGATATATATATATATATATATATATATATATATATATATATATATATATATATATATATACTAGTGTTGACACGTGGATTAAATCCACGAAGTTGGGCGGATCGAAGCATGGTGGCGCGCGCTGCGTGGTGCGACGCTGCCAGCTACTGCCGTAGATCCCTTGAAGCTCGTTCTAGTGCTGTTCCCCCACCGAAGGCGCCCAATGCATCGAAACGGGGGCCGAAGTGTTCGAGCTTCGCAAGAAGCAGAAATTCAGGAGTCCAGGCCTGAGCAACGTTGGAAGATTCGCGCCGGGATCGCGGCGGACGCGGGAGCGGGTTCGGGCAGAAGCGGCGCCGTCTCGGGCGGCGTCGGAGGCGTCGGAACGACGTCGCGGCAAAATAAGGAGCGCAGCGGGGCAGCCCCAGGGCCACCGGAGCGTCAAAACATGTTTTTTGCGCCTGCGAGGGGCCTCTCGCCTCTCGTCCGCCCCCCTCTGTTGGAACCAATTTTGAAGCTTCTTGGGAGCCGTTTGGGAGCTCTATGGAGGCTGTTTTGGGCTCCTCGGAGGCTTCTCGGAGCCCTCTTGGGCCGGCAGGGCGCCTCGTGGGCCGCCTCAGGGCCGTCTTAGAGCCGTCTTGGGGCCGTCTTGGGCCATCTTGGGTGCCTATCGGGCCGTCTTGGGGCCATCGTGGGCTGTCCTGAGCCCCTCTTGGGCCTCTCGTGGGGTCCTCTTGGGTTGTCTTGGGCGCCTCTTGGGCCGTCCTGGGCCCGTCTGGAGCCATCTTTGGGCCCTCTTGGGGGCCGTCTTGGGCGACCTTGGAAGCCTCTGGGGCCGTTGTGGACGCTTCGAGAAGCAATAAGCCGAATCTGCTGAAAATGTCAATTTTGCGAAGGGAGTGTGACGACTTTAGCTTGGTGGAACCCTTTCGGGGGACCCCTTGGACCCGCCTGGAACCGTCCTGGGGCGTCTTTGGGGCTCATGGGGCCGTCTGGAGAGCATCTTGGGCCGCCTGAGGTCGTCTCGGGGCCTCCATAGGTCGTCTCGGGGCTGTCCTGGGCCCCTCTTGGGCCTCTCGTGGGGTCCTCTTGGGACGTCTTGGGCGCCTCTTGGGCCGTCCTGGGCCCGTCTGGAGCCATCTTTGGGTCCTCTTGGGGGCCGTCTTGGGCAATCTTGGGGCCTCTGGGGCCCTTAAGGACGCTTCGAAGACCAATAAGCCGAACCCACTAAAATTTACAATTTCCCCCAAAAAAGCTGTGACGATTTTTACTTAATGGAGCCCTTTCAAAAAACCCCTAGGACCCACCTAGAACCGTCCGGGAACATCTTTGGGGCTCATGGGGCCGTCTGGAGACCATCTTGGACCGCCTGAAAGCCGTCTTGGGTCGTCTCGGGGCCTCCATAAGCCGTCTCTGGGCTCTTCTGGAGCGCTCCGGTGCCGTTTCGGGACCTTCCGGGGGCCCTCCGGGGCCGTTTCGGGGTTCTCTGAGGGCTCCGGGGGCCCGGGGCCCACGCAAACCCACAAAGCATCTTTCGGAGTTATCTGAATGGATATATATATATATATATATATATATATATATATATATATATATATATATCACTCGTAATTCATGAAGGTCTGTGAAGGCAGCGGGCCTAGACAGGCACAGTATATGTATGGAGTAGCATTGCGCGCCCAGCCTTCGCGCTTGCGATGGCAGCGCTCGGAGAGGCCCAATCCTCTGGGGTGAGGCGGGCCTGTATATTGTACGTGTGGAACGCAATGATCACGCGTTCAAATGCCAAACGATGAGTCCGCAGCCCTAGGCGTTCGGACAGGAATTCAGGGGCGAGGATACGGATGTGCCAGGCCATGCACACAGCGTGCCACATGTGCGAGCAAACAGCATAGTGTGGCATGGCATCAATCGCCGATGGGTCATCTACTCTCGAGCAGCCGAAGACGCACCCCTGCACTCCAGCAGCTCGGTGAAGCCTGCGAGATGTGGTCCAGCCACCAGCCCATGTCTTTACAAGGGCCGATTGGCCCGCAGGAGGAAACGATTTCAAAAGCTCCAAGACGGGTTCCCATTCGATCGGGCCCGAGGGAGGCTCCGACCCAGGGGGCCACCAGGACTTCAGACGGGAGAGAAAGGTGGGGACAAGGGAGGAGACATCAAGAA